CCAGCAAATTAATGCTGTTTATAGTGGCTGACATTGCTCAGACATCTCTGTGTTGTACAGCTGTTCTTACAATGGTTGGCTGAGGAACTCAAGAATATATGTGGGAGAACTGAAAAGGTCTTGCAGAACTGGCGAACTTTATGTGAAATTGCATTCAGAAGCTTTTTTTCCCTATTTTTATTTTGTCTTTGTGGTGATGGTTTTATTTCTTACCCTGAGTAGGTGGTCTATCGAGGGATGCAATGTATTTGGATCTTACTGCTATCTCAGATTGTTTATTTGCAGTTAGAGAAGTGGAAGTTGGGTGAAGGCAGGAAAATGTTTAAAAAATACTTTGCAAGGGTAGAACCTCTTATATGAAAGACAAGAATGGCTTTATTGTGTCTGTTTTCCTTTTGTTTCCCCAACATAAATGTTTTGCTGCATGTTGCTGATACTACTCACGTGGAGCTGGCTCTCAAGGTATCTGGGTGTGCCTGAGTAGGTTCCAGTGACTCTTCAGCAACAGGAGCATTCAATAATAAGAAAGGAAAAATGCTCAATACAATCTGTTAAAATGGAGCATTTTAATCAGCGCTGAGTTCTGAAGGAACCAGATGTTATTTTGCTCCTGGCAGTGTTTGAAACTTCACGGGCTTTTCATGACATTGCATCTTTTCCGTGTCTTAACGAGTGACTCATCTTGCTTGCCTGTTTGTTCCTATTTCTAGCTGCCAGTGGGAACAGTAAGCTCTATGTTACCATTTTCTCTTTAATGTCACATACTAGTCTGCCAGAGGTCACTCTGTTCACTCATGCATGTGGTTTTCAGTGTTTTTTTTTCCCTTTCTAATCTGAATGGCATTTATTTAGTTGGCGTGTGGTGTCTTCCAGTCAAAAATCTGCTTTTGCAAGGGAAGTGTATGTGTGCCTTCATGTAATGTGCAGGAGGTGTGATGGCTGAGCTCAGGGTGCACAACAAGCAGCCTCTGCCATCGAGATGGGCCTTTCCTGGTGCTGGTTATTGGGGCTGACGTAGCCTCCATTCTGAGTCTCTTAGTAGCCTAAGCAAGGAGGGTGCTGAGTTCTTGGCAGCAGTGGAGTGGCGTGGGTGCTGTTTGTAGGTGCTGCTGTCATCCATCTGGACAAGAGGTGACTTTTATTCTTCAGTGTTATTCTTCTTTAAAAGCAAGAAGTAACAAAAACATAACCCTTAAAAAAAGAAACAACAAAAAAAACCAAAGTTTATTTATTGTGAAGAGTGTTGGTTATGTACATTGCTGGAAAAGTCATGGTGCTGAGGGGATTAAATCTGGTACAAGAAGGACGTTTTGGTGACATTTTGTTTTGAGAAAAAGAATTTGTGGCTGGAAATCTGCACTTAAACGGAGGTAGGGATTCTCATCTTTCAGAGCAGCAGCAAAGAATGTCTGTTGTGATTTAAAACCTCAAGTGTGTTTCCTGCATGAGTACCTCACTGTTGCTGTTGAGCAGCCAAGTAAATAACAAGAAGCTGGTTGTGGTCCTGTGAACGTTTAGGTGGTGAACTTTGTGAGTAGAGCGCATCCACACGTAATGCGAATGCATTTAGATCCTTTTTCCTGTGATAAACCCTGAAACTTGATTGCTAATTAATGCAAAATCTTCGTATTTTTGTTTCAAGCTACCAGCTAATGGTCTTGTGGGTTTTTTTTAATTGTTTGTGTTAAGGACAGGCAAACACGTAAGCTATGGAGGAACAGACTTAGTGTATCAGTGTAAATGTACCTCACAGAGACTGTTCTGCTCCTGCCTATAACCAAGCTATCTGATTCCTCTTTGGGGTGAGCCAAGCAGGCTTATGGCTACTGAAGGCTCATGCTATTCTGCCCAGGTGTTTGGCTAGACTGTTAGTGCTGCCCTGGCTTTCTGCTGGTCCCTGCCTGTGCCTCAGCTGCCTGTCTCATGTGTTTGTGCTCTATCTGGAAATCTTACTAACAACTTTGGGGCGAGGGGAGCAATCTGTGTCAGCTGTGTATCTCCTTCATTGGTTAAATGTCTTGCGCGTAGAACTGAAGCACCTGATTACCTGTGGTTCGTGGTGTTTTAAACTGATGTAAGGACAGCTGCTGTCCAAGTTAAAGAAATAGAGCTCAGATTTTGCAGTTTATTTTCTCTCACTTATGCTGAAAAATGAATGTGTTTTGAGGAAGGAAGGCAGTTCTAGTGAAGATAGCATTAAGCCGTGATGTAAATCAGGAAAATTAAGCCAGTATCACTTGCGGCTGCATTCCTGTCCATCACTGAGGTACAAAGCAGGGGCCCACTGCAGCACACAGGCAGAAATGCTCAAACCAACCATCTAGAATTGCCATATTTCAGTCTGAAGGCAGTACCACAGCCTGAACACAAAGTGTGAACCCAGATGCTCAGTTTGCAGTGGTGCGTGTTTTTGAGGCCATGCTAAACCTCCCCTGTGGCTGCTCATCGTCCCTTCAGGGCCTCCTCAGCCAGATCCTGGCTCCCAGCCGTTGTCAAATTCAGTTTCTTTCCAGATGATTCTGTGTAGATAGACAGTGCTGCTTGTGATTGCTCACTGCTTGATCACAGCCTCATGCCACAAGCCAAAAAGAGTCTTATTCAAACAGGAAATAGAAGATAAGATTTGGGGATAGAACCAGGTAATGGAGGTATAAAGCAGAAACTCCATGAGCATTTGAATTAAGGAAGCTTGACTACTACGAGTTTGTTTCTTTTTGTAGATTGCAGTATCTGAGAAGTTACTTGTACTGACTTAGATCTTTCAGCTAAACAGAGAGGCCTTTTTTCCACAGGTCTACTTATTAAGGAGGCTTGAAGAAAGCCTCTCCTACAGATCCTTTTTGGTTTGAAATGGCAAGTGTTGCACTTGAGCTTTTTTCCCCCATCAGGAGTGTGCTTCATATCGCTCTTCTCCACCCATTTCCCTAACACCTGCAGGAGCGTACCTTTGGGATCTCTCCTTGGTCAAATCTGATCAGGAGTCATTAGTAGTTTCCAGAGTTAAAACAGGTGCGCACACATGAGCTGTAGAGACCAGTGATGTTATGATCTTTGTGTTCTCAGGAAATCAGGTTAAAATAATGCAACTATCATGTCTCTGAACAATCAGAATAATAATATTGTTGCTGAGACCTTTCTCATGTGAAGAAGTACAGCCAGGAGCCAGGTGGCGCAGCTGGTTTAGCGCTCAGCAGCAAAAGTGGGGATGTGGTGCCAGTGAGCAGAAGAGCTCTGCAATGGGTTTCTCAGTGGTGGGAGAACAGATCGCTCAGGCTATGAAGGGATGTTCACCTCACTCTGGTACTTCTTGTCAGGAGAGAATCTGAGAAATGTTCTGTAGTCATCACACAATGGCTCACTGTGACCAGGCAGTGGACTATCCCGTCTTGAAATAAACGTGCGAGTTTCAGCAAAAAATCTCTTAAGTGTGGTGACTTTACAGCAAAATTCCTGCTGCATGCTCTCCCCTGGGAAATTCACTTTGTGTTACAGCTGTGGATAGTCGCATGGCAGCAATAGGCAGAGCCTTTTACGTGAGCTGCAGGGAGCTTATTTACAAGCACCTTCCTCCTACAGTGCCTCTGTGATGTGCTGGTGCAGAGCAACAAGTGTTCATGGCTGAATTCCCTTTTCACATGATTCCTTGTGCATGTTCTGGAAGGGCCAATGCTGTCTCTTGCATGCAGCATAAACAAAGCTGCATTTATGGGGCCTATAGACAGTAGAATTTTCAAGCTGGGTCTCCCACTCATTATACCTCATGTGTTTTCCCTGGATCGTGGTGTGTCTGACCAGAAACTGGCCCTGTGCTTGTGAAAGAGTGCTCTGAACAAATTTATTTTTCTCTTCCAGATAGTTGTATGAGTGATAAGTATTTTTTGGCTCTTTTTCCCTAGAGAAAGTCTATTTTTGTTAATTACATTGGCAGTAAATGTTTTATGAAGTGTGGGTTTTAGAAGACTTAAGAACTCATCTCAGAACTGCTGACCCTTAAGAGTAAACAGCAGTCAATGCTAATGCTGAGTGTTCCCTTTGAAGATAAGGCATTATGCCACCTGTTTTGCAGAGTTGCTGTTTGCCAAAAGGTGGATTAAATATTTTGTTCAAGGAAGATCTCAATACGTTATATTTCCTAAAAGAGAGCTCCTTTAAGCATATAGCTTCTGTCCATAGCTCAGTAGGCAGGTCCAGAGGGAGCAGAGTGGCTGATCAGCAGAACTGCTGATCTGATGTAGAAATGTTCCTCAGTTTGCAAGGAATAAATGTTGTTGGCATCGAACAGATGGTAGGTGACATACTTTCCAGCTGTCTCAAGTCTTTCAAAATGCTTCTGTTGTATGTGCCAGAGACAGAGTCCCACCTTTGTGCTGTCAAGCTAAACACAGAAGTGAAAACATCAGGTAAAGGTAGTTGCTGAAGAGAATTAAGCTGAAGGAAACTAACAAATCTGAAATTAGTATGCACGCTTCAGCCACTTTCATTGGGACAGTCCATGTTAAATTCACTTTGTAGAATAATTCTCACCACATCAAGTTTTTAATTGCTGTCTCTATCCTCAGGTTAGAACTGAATCACCCATAGCACCTATTTCAATGACGTATTTCAAACCATGACACTAAATGGCACGCATTTATGTCTTCTGCTGGGTACAATGCTTGATGATTTTCCATTGCCTGCTTTGAAGAGTCAGCTTTCAGTGAACTCTGTGAACATTTTATTATTGCATTGAAGCTGAGACAGAGAAGAGCAATTAAGGGGTTGACATCTTTGGTTATTTTTTTAATAGTACATGTGTCAAAACGCATTTAACAGATCATCACTGATGCAAAAGCCCAGTTAATGCTAAAATGTAAGTAAAGCTCATTTCAGTGGGAACAAATGAGAACTTCTAAACATGTAATAATAAAAAGTGATTGCCTTATTTTAGATACAGAACCTAACTGCAGCTTCTGTTTCTGAGACATAGAGTCTTAAAGCCTGAGTATTCTGTTCTGTTCCAGGATACAGCTGGACAAGAAAGGTACAGGACCATCACCACAGCCTACTACCGAGGCGCCATGGGCTTCATCCTCATGTATGACATCACCAGTGAAGAATCCTTCAATGCAGTGCAGGACTGGTAGGAAAAAAGTTATTATTTTTGTTGTTAGTTTGGTTTGTTTGGTTGGTTGGTTTTGGCCACTTCTCTTCATGCAAGAGAGTGTGGCCAAGGGTAGAGCTTGTGGACTCCATGTTGGCAGTTGCTGGGAGATGTTCTCTTATCAGTGTGGTGGAAGGATGGAAATATTTGAGCAGCTGCAAGGTAGAAGCTGTAAGCGCAGCACAGGTGAGTGGAAGGCTGGACCCTGTTGCTGGAGCTCTGGTTCTGCCATGGCATCCTCTCAAAGGGACTCCAAGGCACCTCTTCAATGCTGATCCAGCTTTGATAACAATCTCTGTGAGGGACAGAAATTGTGAATTCCTTCATATATGACTGCAGCTGGAGTCTGTTCAGAGCTGGGTGGTGAGGAGAATGTATCCCTGCTGTAAAGAACTGCAAAGAAACCAGATCACGTCTCTGACTCTTCAGTGCTGAGCACTGACATGGGAACATCAATTCTTGTTACAACTATCATGTTGATAGGGGAGACCTAGGTGACCTCAAATATCTTGCAGTCATTGCTGTGTGTCACCCTGTGGCTTTATACTGCAGATAGGTATGGTGAGAGTGCAAAGAAAGGTAGCACAGAGGTTAATGGAATCTCTTAAGTCTGCCAGATGAATTTGCAGTGATCGCAGTGTCCCAGGAGTATGTGATGGCAGCAGATAGATGACATAAAACCTCCTTACATGGCTCTAGCTCTTAGCATCCAGCTCAGTCTTCGTTTTTATTGAACATCTTTCCATTATCATCAAAGCTAGATTGTAACTCAGAAGGCAAAATAACATAGATGTTTCTAGTAACTTGGCATTCTTCTGAGGTTGCTCCCTATTTGCTCTCACTGTCCACTCAAGCAGCTGCTGATGATCATCGTATATAAATATGTAACGTATGCTTTCACCTTATGGTCAGTATCAAGATGCCATGTTGCAGAAGGCGAACTGCAGCACCGTCTCTAACCTGTAGTTCAGCAGCTAGTGCAAAAAATTTTTTTTCCTTGCTAGAAGCACAAACCTGAAGTTTTGCCCAAATCAGATTCATTCATATGATGCAGCTTTAACCAAATTCATGCAAGTACCTACACAGGGATTTTTTCCAGAAGACTGTTTTCCATAGGCATGTGAGCTAGGGCAATATTTTTCACTAAACTAGGAATATTTCAGCTTGATTTCTTGATGAAACAAGGTATATTAGGGCCATACAGCCCATCTATGTGTCTGTCTGCAAGTTGTTTTCCCCTCTAATAAGTTTTATTAGTTTAGCCAAATCTAAAAATGCAGTTTCCACTCACTCTTGCAGTGAGATGTGTGAGGAAACTTGGATTGTTCTACCTGTCTGACCAGTCACTGTGTGCATGCTGTCCAACTAGCAGGCAAACACACAGGGTTTAGGTACTATCAAAATAAACAGGTAACAAGGGCTTGGAGTGGGGTAGTTCATGGAGATATTTTTGAAGGAGATATCTGACTTGATTATATAAATTTCCTTGAGGCCTTATACAAATGTGGGCTGTTACTGTTCCTTCTGTATCACAAAAGAGTTCCTTTCAGATGTCTTTTTCCTTATATTTGATATCCCTTGTATGTAGTGCTCTTTTAAGGAAACTAACACCTTGGAAATAAATACATAGTGTAGAAGCAAAAGACAGCACCAGGTCACTGGCTTTGGCACTGATGTCTAAAAATCAGCCAACTTAAAGGGGGATTTTGGTTTTGAATTTTGCTTATGAAATCCAAGTTTAAGCCATATTTATCTTGTGCGCCTCCAACTTTCCAATTGTGTTTCTTCCACCCATTTTTCTACATCTGTGAAGTATACAGGTATAGAAGATTATGGTGTGTTTCTGCAGGTGTTTGAGATGGACAAAGCTTGTATAATTGTCAGTCTTTTTATATATATTCTCTGTTTCAGTTAAATGGTGAAAAAAAGTACTAAAATTCGATCTATGAGCTGCTACTGTGCACTGCTATTTTAAACTTAAGGCACAGTTTAACTTGAGGCTTTGTACTGAAATGATCTAACATTTGTTCCCTCAAAAGCAATGGTGCAGCAGTGTAAGAAAAGGTCAGCTTTGCCTACTTGACTATCTCCCTGTGCCACAGTGGCTGCAGTCGGAACTTTTGCTAAGAGGAACTTTCCAGCAAAAGGACAGAGGTGAACCATCACCGGTGATTTTTACTTGTCATGTCAGGAATCTTTCCAATCATGAGCTTGAAGATTCTCAGCCCAAGTGGATGGGGTATGGATAAAATCAGCCTGTAGCCCGTTTCCTTTTCTTGTCCACAGACGAACCAAAGACTTGTAGCAAAGCCAGCAGAGTCCTCTAGTGGTGGTGCAGCGAAGAGTTCTTTCCCAGTCTACAAAGTTGCTTTCTAAACTTCTGAAGAGACTGGAAATGCAAATCGAGGCTTTTGTCTATTGTTGGTGCTGCTGTATCAGCCCCTGGCATACTGCTAGCATAGTAAATATGTAGGATGTTTTGGTTTCTTTTTTTCCTGTTTTCCACTGTGCTTGGTGATGCAGTTAATATTTCAAACAAACGAGAACAAACCAAAAGCCATTGCAATGGATCTGATCTTCAGTCAGGAACTGTACAATCTCTGAAAAATGAAGGTGTTTGCTACTGGAGTGGAACAAGATGCTTTAGCCTACAGCCTTTCTCTCCCTGAGCCTGGTGGCCTGCAAGGTCAATTGTGCAAGGTAGCAGCATGCCTGGTGATAAAAGGAAGCCATAGCAGCCCTGCAGTGCTTCTGTTTGGAAGCTTCTGCTTGCACAGAGGTTTAGGTGAGGCTGCAGCAAGCCATGCTAAGACCTTACTTAAACATTCACTGAGATTAGTTGGAGCATCCACCTGGAACATGTGTAAAAACTGACAGCAGAGCTCATCCCAATATTTTTACATCCTGCAAGTTTCCAGAAATTACAGCAATTAGTCCTACATATCTTTTCTCCCTTTTAAGTGCCTTGTTGTTCTAGCTAGCTAGTGATAGTGGTTTTTTTTTCTTTTTTTTTTTTGTTTCCAGGTACAGTAAATAAAGAATGCTGTGAAGTTAAACGTTTTGTGATAAATGCAGTGTGATGCAGCAAATTGACTGACATTTTTAGACACTGAGAATAAATGAGCAGTATTCAATTAACATGAATTAAACCCTTTAAGAGGAGCCTATTACTTCTGAAGTGGCATGTGAGGATGGAATTTGAGTGTCTCTCTCAAGACACAGAAAGACTAGATAAGCTACAGATGAGACCTATGCAGTGAGCAACAGAATGAAGTCCATTGGATGGAATTAAAAAAAAGTACTGTATTATCAGAATTCTCAGATAGAAAAGACATTTATTATATCTTTTCTGAACTTCCCTTAGGTTTTCTTTATGCAGTTCTACACTGATTTAACCAAGTGTGTTTTGAAATTAGCCAGGGGCAACTTAGTGTATAGGCACGATTTCAGCATATTGTGTTGTACACTTATTATGTAGTATCTTAGCATATACTGTAATGCATGGTAGTCATTATGTGTTTTTCAATAGAACATTCTCCAGTCTAAAGCTTGCTCCTTCTTGCTGGTGCCTGCCTGCTGCTGCTCAGTGATTCTGGTTTATTAAGATATAAGCAGGCTGCCAATATGATGCTCAGCCCATCTCACTGCTTTCTCTTGCACCATTTCTTCCTGCAAAGCTCCCTACAGAAAACAAGCCAGAAGCATGAACAGCTGAACCTGAGACCTAGAGCTCCAAGTAAGCTCTTGCCCATGACAAACTCTCAGCTTCTGCTGAGTTCCCAAGGGTGTGTAGAGGTCCCAAAATTCATCTTCATCATTACACTGAAATTACAGGGAGGTGGACTTGTGCATAGTTATCTCTCAGCTGAAGAGAGAGCTTTTCCCTTGTGAAGCTCTAAGATACCAGGGAGGTTATAATCACCCTCTAGCTAGTGGGTGAAAATTGCCATCAGAGATTGTGTTTGCTAGCTTGATTATTCTCTAAGCCTTATCATGAAGCTGCAACATCTCTAAAACTTGCTGTGTATGCATACACTGCGCTTTACCTCCTCTCTCTGGCTCCTTGGCAGTGACTGTTCTAACTGCCTCAGAATTTCTTCGGGCGATCTTTTCCTATGCCCTTCTGAAGAACGGGCATTGTAGAGGATTGGAGTTTACTTTGTGTCACTACAGAAATGCTTCACCTTAACTAAAGGTACTCTTTTGTCCTAAAGGTGCTCTTTTCTAAATAAGGAAGGTCATGCCTATATCAGGCATTTAGACAAGCTCTTGATGTCTTGTATAGACATGAGATTTTCATTCACATGAATGTTTTTTTCTGTAGGCTGAGTGAAAGGGTTAAATGAGCTCTTATGGCTTTCAGTTTCCAGATTTCTTAACAGTCTTCTCTGCCAGTTATTCTTTGACATTGCCTTGATAGTTTTGTGTGTAGATCAATCAGTGTATTAAACCTCATTTGAAACTGTGTGGGAAGTAAAATATAATTTGGACAATCTAGGCAATTTCATTGAAGGGAAGGAAAGATTGGTTGAATTTAACTTAGTTTTAAGTGACAACTGGGTTCACAAATCACTGGCATTATTTATCTTTGAGGCTGGTCTCCAAATTAGGTTGTTGATGTTGTGGACCTGAGACTATTTTTCTTCTAAGCATGAATTTTAAAAATCATGTGCTTCATCATGACTTGGAGATTTCACAGAATCACAGAATCACCCGGGTTGGAAGGGACCTCAAGGATCATGTAGTTCCAACCCCCCTGCCTAGCAGGGCCACCAAACACACACATTCAGATCAGGTTGCCCAGGACCCCGTCCAACCTGGCCTTAAACACATCCAAGGACGGGGCATCCACAACCTCCCTGGGCAGCCCGTTCCAGGGCCTAACCACTCTCCTTGTATAGAACTTCCCCCTAACATCCAACCTAAACAAATTCAGCACAAAATTTCAGCACAAATAAGGCATAACTTTATTGTTGTGTCACAGATATTTTTCCCAATTTGTACCCTGAACTGTCCTCATAGTTGTTCAAGCAAATCAATTGCGTAAGTTTTTGTTTTTCTTTTTTTAAATAACTCTTTCTGAAGATTTGCTGCTTTATCTTTGGGATAGGGATAAGGACTGTTTGGACATTCTACTTTGTAAAAGTATTTATTATCATTATTATGATGTCATTCCCAATAACTGTAAATGTCAGTGTTTGGAGAGAGAAGATTTTCACTAACTTTTACAAATTGAGAGTGATGAGTTTCAGCAGGAGGGCCTTCATGCTTTTTTCCTCTTTTTCATTTTCCAAGTAATTCCATTTAGATAGCCAAGATTTGGCAGTGTGCCTTCATGTGAGCCCCTCAAAGGCTGAAACCAATCCAGAGAGGAGAACAGGAATCAGAAGAGGAGCCTGGCGAGACTTACGTTCTCGCAGTTGTCTACAGAGTGAGAATGGAACACTTCCATCTTTCTGGGCTTTTGACTGACCTCTGAAGTCCTCCCCTTCTGTGATGTGCCTTGAAGAAGCACAGGATACTGCATAAACTTATTGTATAGCTCTCACTGGACTTGTCTACATGGGGGACACTCAGCAGTGTGAAAGTGAAGGAGCCCTTTTCCTGGGTAGTAATAGGAATTCAAGTTTAATTGCACAGTCTTCTTAATTTTGCATGTTGCAGTGTGAACCTGGACTGGTACAGTGGGCTTGCTCTAGGTTTGTGTTTTCCAGTGCAAATCAAACGGGCTGCTGCTTAAAGTCAAGTTGTGCAGTGAATTGAGCCCTTTTTCACAGACCACTGTGGAGTTGCACACAATCTGATTTGCATTGCAACAGCAAGTAAACAACTTGCATTGGGCATGAGCAGGGAGAAAATATGGGAAGGTGGATAGGGACAGGCTAACTGTTTGGAGGAGGAATGGAATACGAAGGCCTATTAGGCTGCTGGCACAGCAGCCTAATTACCTTTGGGAAGGAGAGAGACTTAAAAGATAGAGCTGGCTGGAAAATGGATGAGAACTAATGGTACCAGGTTAATACTGTTCTGCTGCAATCTCTGTGACAATCCTCTGAGGATGGTGAGAAGAGACTGGCCCTCATTATAAAAATATCTGTATTTTATTTTGACATTTAAAAAAAAACTATAAAGAGGCTAAGTGTAAGGTCAGACTCCTGAGGTTCACAGACAGCTCCACTCCAGTTTCAGCACACAAAGCCTCCAAAGCTCTCTGTGGCTCAAGTTCCCCTCAGTGCTCCCGCTTCAACTCCCACATGTTTGATCCCTCTGTTATTGATGGGAGCATCTGTCAGATGTATGCAGTCTGTCATTGCAGCTGCTGTTTGCTGCTTCAGGTATCACTTAATCCAGCTGTGTTCAAATGTTAGCTTACAGAATGTTACCTTGAGCCTATATGTTCCCAATCAGGAACATTTCTGTTTTAATTTCGCAGTTCTTTCCGTGTTTCCATGCAACTTGCAGACTCTAGGGTGGTTTTCCTGTTGAAGCAAACATGACTCTGTGTTTGACTCTCAAAACACAACTTATGATGTTGCTAAAACTCTGCAGCAAATGTGCTGCTGCAAATCAGAATTATTTTTTTCCTGCTCTGAAGTATTTTTGTGTATCTATTATGTGTTCTCTCCTAAGAAGACAGTAAAAGGTGTGATTGGATGTTGTTCCTCTGAGATTGCAGCTGATGGAGATGTTCGCTTTTTCCCTTAGTCTTCATTCAGTTCAGTATTTTTGTTTGCATCCAAAGATCTGTAAAACACAAAGTATTAAGGAACTTTATTGTCATACAAAGTTAAGGAATAATAAAACAGAATGGGGTTGCAGATGACATTGGTTGCATTTTGCTTCATGTGTAAGTTTGGTCATTTGTCTTTTAATTGATCAACAGTCTTTGGATATGGATATTGCTTAATGGTATTTATTTTTATATTTAAAGTGTGATTGTCTTTTGGCGTGGCTGATGGAAGGAAACAGTCTTTCTCATCCTGCTGCAGGGCCACACAAATCAAGACCTACTCCTGGGACAATGCACAGGTGATCCTGGTTGGAAACAAATGTGACATGGAGGATGAAAGGATCGTTCCTTTGGAGAAAGGGAAACATCTGGCTGATCAGCTGGGTATGTGTTTAGTAGAGTTTAGTAGAATGTTCTAAACTTGTACTAGACTTTAGTAAAGAGTTCCATTGAGAGGAAGCTAGAATTGCAGTGAAAAATTTTGAGGGGACAACAAAGTATAGGGTACTCACCTTGATTTCTCATGTATTTATTATTTTGATTATATATTATAGCATATGGAATCTGGGTTTCTGCATTAACTGTAATGTCTTCTCTTGAAGAATTCACATGGCAAGAAAATCCTGTTAAAATTGACTAGTTAAATTGTGAAAACCCTTACATTGGACATGCTATAAATCCTCGTTTAGCTTGTAAGAGCAGAGATTCTTACCAAACTGAAAGGAATAAACAGAATCACAAATTCATGAAATCTTATGCTGTTCTCAGTTCTTAAGCAGTAATCAGAGGTTGTAAAATCTGTTGTTAAACTGCGGGTATTGGGGCGCAGTGCACAATGTGTAGATGATTAAAGAGTGACCTTGATCAGATCACCAGTTTGCATATCTTTTCCACATACTGAAATTCAGTATATCTTTAAAAGTACAAGTAATCCAGGTTCTTTCTTGCAGTTTCTCCAATTTGTGCCTGTGTTTCTGTGTTTTTTCTAAGAGTAATTACACTGTTAGTAGCCGAAAAATTGTCCACACCAATATAAAATCAAATACTGAGTTTTGCTGAAATTCCCACTTCTATATGGACTACAAATGTTTTTTTCTCCCTCCCTCCAGAATCATTAATCTGTACGTTTAAATACAAATCTGGCATCTAGAATCTGAAACTGTAAAGTGTGGGATGCTTGGAAGCACGTGCATGTGCAGGAGTTGCCATAGAAACTGACTCCATCAGCAGGGTGCTGTTCTGTTGGAGAATCCCCAGCTCTTCCCTGATCTGTCCTCTGCTGGACACATTCCACTGTGAAGGATAACAAAAGCTAATTGTGTATTTGGAAAGTGTTGCCCCATCCCTCTTGTTCTGTAGCCTCCCAGCATCCAGAATGGTCTTTTAAAAGAACTGGAAAAAGTATCTGGTTTTACCAGACTGTGTATTTACTGTGATTGTTGCATTCAGCATTATCTGAAATTACTTTGTGTATTGGGTGGGAGGAATCTCTTTAATTGACTATTGGCTGCTTAAACAATTAGCATTCACCTTAATGATTCACGTAAAGGATATCCTTTAGCGTTTTTCTCTAAGCTTGTGCAGTAGCATTAACTTCATTGGAAACATTTTCCAACCACATTAAGAAACGTATTGGCCTGACTGTGAACTGAATCAAAACAGCTTCCGCCACAGCAAAAGCTAGACCAGTTTTAGACAGGCACAAATATCATAGTTCTGTTCTCTGATTTCTTATGTCCTTATGTACGTTTCCACCACCAATTCCCCTGTTATTCCATGACTTTTTAAAAGGGTTAGAATAGGGTAAGCACCTATTTGTACTACACACAGGGTGAGTCAGTCTACAAGCAGTGGCTGTCACTTAAGACTTCTCTTCCCTTCTTTTGTGATAGAATCAAGGAAACTGATGCAGGATACCCCCAAAATGTAAATGCGTTTTATTCCAAAATAAGCTGTGTGACATTTGAGCTCGTGCTGCTGGCAAAATAATAGACAAGGGCATGTAAGCAACAGCTATTGTAAGGGATGGTTGGTCTTTGAGGCCCTTGGTTTAGGAAGACAAAGTGTGAGACCCAAAACATCACAGGTAAAAGCTTGGCAGATCAGCACACTGCTCCTGGTGGGGCAGAGCTCAGGCCTTTGTGGGAGGGGAGCAGTGCCAGCTGTCAGCAGGAATGGTGAATTTTAGATGCATTTCTGCTCAGTATTTGAGACAGTGAGAGTCAACTGAGCCTAAGAACTGTCAGATTCTTGTTTTCTTAAGGTGAATTCTTTGAGGGGGGGGGAGGGGGAAGAGTATTCTTTTAAACCATTTCCATATCATCAGTCTTGACTTATTATTATTGTTTTTAATTTATTTTTTCCCCACAGGTTTTGACTATTTTGAAGCTAGTGCCAAAGAAAACATCAACGTAAGGCAGGTGTTTGAGCGTCTTGTGGATATAATCTGTGAAAAGATGTCAGAGAGTATAGAGTCGGACCCTTCCAGGGGCACTTCGGGAAGGAATGTGAGGCTCATGGACAACCCACCCCCTTCACAGCAGAACTGTTCATGTTAGTGACCTTTCTTGCTGAGAAATGTCTTTCTCCTTTCCTGACTAAATTTTCTCTTTCTCTGTGGTTCATTACCATGTAGTCCAAAGGCAGAAGTCTCTGTTGTAGGAAACTGGTGTGTTTAATGTGCTGGAGTGTTTAATATATATTATCTGATAATTTAAAAAGAAACACTGAATAAATATTGTGAGTGCACCTAGTTAATGTGTGAGTTACGCTGAATGAAGAAAAAGAATCGCATAGTGTTGCAAATGCCTACGTTTGGATCTACTCCGATCAGCTGCTCGGTGGCAGATGAGTTGCAGGATGATGGACATGAGGAATTGGCTGCTGTGTGCTTGGCTGGAGGCAAGTAATGGTATATAAGACTTAGAAACAGCACTAGCTCGGAAAGAAAGCAGGAGCCAAAGTAGCATTGCCAATATTGTTAAATTTTTCTGTGTTTTGTTGTTGATTCCATTTTTTAATTTTGTGCTAGACGGTGCATGTGTGAGGATAGATTTTCAAGTTTCAGGTTCAACCACTGTGTATAATTTTAGAAGAAGTGTGTGGGAAAAGACGCGATGAATAAAACATCAAAGATATCCTGTTGGATACACTACAGATGTGGCATGATTCTTTGAGGGGATGGATAATTTTTAATATTTGACGCCTACAATGTTACTGCACTAAATATATACTTGTACTAAAAGATGAAGTTTTGTATGGGTGTAGATCTCTGTATGTGTGCCACGTGCAGAGCTTGTGTTTCTCTGAAATATAAGGAACTGCTTTTGTGAATCAGTAAAACTGTAGCATGTGCCTTTGTCCATGATTGCACCATGGTTTGCACAGCGCAGCTCCAAGCAGTGACTGCAGGTTGCATCAGTAAATGTAAATGAGGTGGATGTAGAAGAAATTTGCAGTATTAGTGGTATAGCTAGGAAAAGTTTTATGGCTTTACCACAGGCCTATATGCTCCTCTCCCCAAGGAGACTTTCTGTTGTCAGAATCCGGAGTCCAGCATCTGCCCATGGCGCTGATGGCACTAGCATTCACTCTTGGAGTTTTGTTGTCACATCTCAAAGTTCTAAGAAAAAAACCACTGGTTTTCTGGAGAAAAATGCCACTATCTTGTTGTTTGAGCTCAGCATGCTCAAGGCTTGAACCCTTTGCACCGCATTTTGTTGTTTGCAGAAATCTTTACAGTGACTTTGGGTGTGTGTGACCCGCTACTGAAAATTCGCCTTGTGCAACGCCAGGAGTGCCATTACTGTATGTGAACCCTCCGAAACTGCCAAATAAAGAGAAATGTAGCCACCAGGTGTGCCTGGAGGAGCTGTGTCACAGCAGCCAGTCGTGTGTATGCACAGAGGTGCCTTAACGCTTTTGATCGAGCTGTATGAGCACATTTTGATGGTCCTTGAGCCTGGCACTCAAGAACCGCTTTGCAGATCTGACGGGGCGTGCAGCGCAGTAACAGCAGAGCGGGGCTGGGCGTAACTCGTGTTGTCAGAAACGGGAACAGCTGTGAAGGTGTAACGGATTTCATCAGCGGGCGAGCAAACCGCCCACAGCGAGCAGCGGCCGCGCGCTTCACGCGAGCCGAGGGCTGGGGCCGCTCGTTGGAGGAAACGAGGCCAGGCGGTCTACACGCCACCCCTATTCCTTCCGCCAATCAGAGCGCGTTCCGGCTGGACGAGGGCCCGCGATTGGGCCGCGCTCCGCGCGTGGCACCGCGGCGGGCGTTGACTGGAGCCTGGCAACCGTCACCGCCACTTCCTCGGGCGGCGGAAGCCGGCAGGGTTAGCGGCGGGGCGGCGGCGACGCATGCGCAGGCTCGCGCGCAGGCTCGCGGCGGCCTTCGTGCGGAGGGGCCGAACGGCGCGGCCCGTGGCGGAGCCGCCGCCGGCGGTTCGCGGCTCAGCTCGGCCGTCCAGCGCGGCCGTTCAGCCCAGCCCTTCAGCCTGGCCGTTGTGGCGCTGCGCGGCCGCAGCCATGCCCGGTAGGAATAAGGCGACGTCTAACTACGGCTGCCCGGAGCTGACGATGGGGCAGCAGATCGGGGCGAGCGGCCCCGACGCCCGAGACCGCTCGGAGGAGGAGGAGGAACGCGGCAACATCGGAGACCCCGCCATCGTCAAATCCCCCAGCGACCCCAAGCAGTACCGGTGAGGCCCGGGGGGCCGCCGAGTGGGCCGGGGGAGCGGGCGGCGGGCGCTGAGGTGGGCGAGGGGCCGTGAGGGGCGAAGGAGCCGCAGCGTGGCTCTGTGGGCGCCCGTCCGGAGGCCGAGATCCGCGCGTTTCGGGGCAGTACTGACGGTGGCCCTTCCCGCTCGAGTTTCCGAGTAGGAACCCGCGTCCGGAGTTCAGCGAAAGCGCGGCGCTGCCGTTTCGTCGGGCGGCCCCCAGGCGGCACGCAGCCGCCCCGAGGCACGGTTCTCGCCGGGCGATGCGCGCTGCCTTCCGTGCGGCCGAGCGAAGTTCCCGGCTGGCTGCCGGACGCGCGCCGCTCCCATTGGCCGCGCGGCGGTTTTTGCTCCTCCCTTCTGGTCCCGCTTCGTTGCCGCTGCCGTTTGCGGGCCAGGTTCTCGGCTGGAGGGGCCGGGCCGTGGGAAGAGTCGCCGGCGGCGTGTTCTGAGACTCTGGGACCGGAGAGCGCGTTTACGCTGCCGCGGAATTGACGAAGGTCTGACAGAAAGCCGCGCTTAACGGGTGGGTTTCAGGAGGAAGCCGGGGGCTGCACGTATCTCGTTGGGTTGGTTGGCGTGTGTGGAAGTGAGCCTCGCAGATGCACGCTTAGGACAGAGAACTTCGGTGCTGCTGGAGGCGAAGCAAGCCTCGGTCAAATAAGTGCATTTCAAGTTTGAAATACTTAAAGACGAGATCTGATGATGCACGCACGCTTTTTCTCCTCTGTTCGTAAATTGGTGGTGATGTGTAATGCATCTCGTGGCTGTTTTAATTTATCTGGGGGCATCACTCTTAGATTATGATGTGCCACCAAACTGTTTTCTCAAATACACCGTTCATAACAGCAAAGCAGACTGCAGAATATGTTGTTGATGTTGTTCAGAGAGAAATGATGGTGAGGCTTCTGTGCATGGACTTATTCTGTCAGTTAGGACTGGATGGTTGCAGAGGTGTGTTTTTTTTCTTTCTTCCCCCCAAATTTGTTTCATTTAAGGACACGCGTATGTGCAATTCATAGGTTTGTACTCTTCGTTCTGGGCCATTTGGAAAATAAAAACACCTCTAAGTGTTAACCATGCATTGATACGTATTTTAGCATTTAGTTAACTGCTGAACAATTAACAATGAGGTTGGTGTGAGAACAATCTGTTCCAACTTACCCAGGATGTGTTCTGAAGAATTTCATTGTCTGTTTAATACATTGTTTGTGTCAGTGCCCATTCAGTCAGCCATTGGACTAAGCTGCTTCTCTTGCTATGTTGTATTTTTCCATCTGTATGTTGCACGCTAGTTGATACATTTGTGTATTGATTGCACTTGTTCTTTTCCCTTGGACTGAAACATGGAAAAAGAGCACCTGTGTTGGTGATGCTCTGCTGGGTAAAGCCTGGTGCTGTGCTCCTGCATTGCAACCTAATGGCATTCAGCAGAAGAGGGGTTATGTTGTTACCTGCTGCTGGGTGCTGTTAGCGTCTGTCACCCACAAGCCTGAAGAGAGTACTGTCAAGTTGGTATCATCTGTTCCCTGGCTTTAATGGCGGTGTGGGGAAGGGATAAACACAGCTATTGGATACACCTGGCTGAGCAGATTGACTTTGTGCCCAGACATCTCAGCACTGTCTGTACCTCCTGCAGTTAGTGATATGTTTCTGTGTGTTATACCTTGCTCTGTGGTTTCAATGAACAAAAATGCAGTTGTGCTTTCACCTGGTTGTATCGAACCTGTGGTGCTCAGTGGTGCTGCTGTGCGCAGATCAGGTGTTAGTGATTGGGAAACTGGGGCCAGAGCAGGTGCTTTCAGTTCTACATTTGAGGAGCAGTTGTACTTCATGAACTTAACACATCTATTAAAAAACCTGTGCACCCCATTTGATGGAAAGCATTTCTAAAATCAAATAAGATGGAGTCTGCATGGCCTACTTTGAGGCAAAAACAAATATCTTAGTTCACCCACGTAATCTGTGTGACGAGAGCCTGCCAAACATGATACTCTACTGAAGTTTGGTTTCACCTATTCTGAGTCCATAAATCTTTCTCTAACCAAATCTTTCTCAGGTGCTAGTAGCTTGTCTATTGCAGAGAGAGGCATAAAAGCTTAAATCAATGTCTAGAGCATTGTGGGGTGTACGGCTTCTGCCTGTAATTGCTTTCTCCTGTCACTGTTAGCTGTTAAATATCAGAAGAGTCTTCTTACTTTTCCACTGCAGAGCTGCTCACCTTAGCTGCCTTTATTTTATCAGGAAATCTTCGTTGAAGAAGAGGATGGGAAATATACAGATGCATGGACATTTGTGTGTTCAGATTTGGGAACTGAGTGTATCCATTGCAAATAATTATTCTTTCAGGTATATCAAACTGCAGAATGGCTTACGTGCACTTTTAATTTCGGATTTGAATTACCTGGATGACGCCCCATCTGCGCTGTCTTCAGAAGAGGAGGAGGAGGAAGAGGAGGAGGAGGATGAATCTGAAGAGGAAAGTGATGAAGATGACTCTGGAGCGGAGATTGAAGATGGGAGAGAAGGTTTTGATGAGGACTGTGATGAGGAGGATGAGGAGGATGACGATGAAGAAGATAATGAGGATTTTAATGATCCTGATGACAGCGAATTAGAAGAGCTGGCTGAAAAGGAAGAGACAAGAAAGAGAGGCTGCACAGAAAAGCAGGTGTGTATTTAAAGCAGTAGAATGAAAAAAGTATTATAGAGAGCTTTCTTGTGCTCTGAAACCTTGTGATTGGGCATTCAAACTCATTCTTTCTGTTATGCCTGTTGATTTGTCTTACACAGCTGTCATTTTCCTGAAATATTTCTCAAAGCAGCTTTTACTGAAACTGTTGTATTTCCTCAGGCTGCAGCAGCCCTTTGCGTTGCTGTTGGCAGCTTCTCTGACCCCGAAGACCTGCCTGGATTAGCACACTTCCTGGAACACAGTACGTATTTGCTCCTATTTCGTCTTCTCC